CTGTATCGATGCCATAGAGGATATGCTTACACGGAAATTTCAGGAGTGTGTCGGCAGCATGAACCAGATCAGCTGCAGATGAGGTTTAAGCATATAAACGGAAGAAAAAACGCAGACTGAAAATCTGCAGGCTCACCCCAAACCAGGGACTGGCTCTTAATAGAAAAAAAAAAAGCTACTTTCTTACGTTTCGGAGCATATTCGCTTACATGCCTCCAATGAGGGGCTGAGATTTGGATTTTAGGCTGCCCTTTTTTCCAACCTTCCTTGTATTTCTATGTCAGTCTCTTCCAGACTGGTCCATTTGGTGACTTGATTTGCACAATGTGCTTAGCTTGGTTACGATGTTAAACCTGTTTCCTGGGTTTGCACAACAGACCAAACCATAAGCAAACAGAACAGGCTGCATTTGCATAGTATGCTAAGCCCAAAGGAGAAATTTAACCATGTTATGCATGTTGTGGGAATGCAGCAGTGAGGTCCTTAACTTAGATTATAAGTGTGTGGTATGAAACCTGATGGCTAACCTTCTACCCTCACACCATGTGCTCTTAAAAATAATACATATGCACAACAGTTCACCTCAAACATAGCAGCATTTATATGCTTTTGTAAATCAATGTCACCCCAAGGAAAGATATATCTTTTTTTTTAAGTGCTGCTCAGTCCACTAAAAGTCTGTATATTACATCCAGATATAATTCTTTATCATTATCATTATTATTATTAAATTTTATTGGCTGCCCAACGCCAGTGGACTCTGCTCAAGGTCAGCGAGGGAGATTCCTGACAAAACAGGAATTTAAACTCAGGTTTTTCCAGTCCACCTTCAGGATGTGCTAAACATTTGTAGGTCAACATACCTGAAGAAGATCGCTAGATTATCATAGCTGGAAGTGAACTGCACCTCAACTATGTACCCATATTGGCCCTTCCCGAAATGTTTCATGCCACTCAAAAAATGCCTTTACCAGAGGAAGAGGCTCCACAGTACCTATACTGGAATATTGCTTGCAAAAATGTGACTAATGCATGTAAAGTGTTCATTAGGAGAAATGGGAATACATAGGTTATTTTTGTATTTCCTTTGAACATGGAAATACATAAATCCATTTATTTCTTTATTTATTAAATTTATATGCCGCCCATCTCTGGGGGAGATGGGCGGCATACAAATTTAATAAATAAATAAACAAACAAATATGGACAAGTGCAGCAAAAATGGGACAGCATGGGTTTAAGGCTGGAAAAATGCCAAGCAGTTGCCCCCGGACTGGGCAGGGTTGGCCCTTCAGCTGGTACTGCCAGCTCAGCAGTGCCCCCTGGGGGGGCGTGACTTTTCCAGGGACCCCGGGGTTACCTTGGCGTGGGACTGCTGTCGCTGCCCTTACAGGAGCCGGAGTTGCTGCTGCTGCTGAGCGAAGAGGTGCCGTAGGTGTCCCGCATGCTGACGGGCGGGGAGGGGCGCCTGGAGGCAGGAAGAAGAGGCTGTTTCTCAGTCGGAGTGGCTGGGGCTGTTGCAGACTTAAAGAGCGAGGGCGAGCCACTCCTTCCGTAAAACTCACGGCTTCACCAACCCAAGGGGACGCAAGGGCACAAGACAGGAAAAGAAAATCGTGATACAAGGTAGGACAAGTACGAAGGGGGGGGGTCACAAGGGAACATAGTGAAAGGGGGTGCAAGCTGGGTGGGAGCAACAGCAGGCCCAAGGGGGGGGTCTGTAAATCCCAGGGCTAGCCCAGCAGAAGCCCAGAGCACACCCACCTGCTTGCGCTCCTTTACTCAGCCCTCCCCAACTAGGCATTCTCCAGATATATGGACCCACTCCCAGAATTCTCAGTGATGGGCATGCATCTAGGGCAGTGTTTCTCAACTTTGGCAACTTAAAGATGGGTGGACTTCAACTCCCAGCATTCCCCAGCTTGTCCACCATCTTCAAGTTGCCAAAGTTGAGAAACCCTGATCTAGGGAATTCCAGGAGTTAAGGTATTACCTATGGAAGATAGAAAATGAAACTACTAATATCACGATGCCTCTATGCAAATCCACAGGGCAACCCATCCTTGGAATACTGTTGTTTTTGCTGGTCATTGGATCTCAAAAAAGGAGACTTGTACGACTGTTTGGAAACCATGCAAAAAAAGGGGAGCGAACACAGGCAGTGACCTGGGGCAAGTCCCTTGATGTTTGAGAACTTTGAAATGTGAAAAAAAAGGCAAATAAAAGTAGAGGAACTTGTTGAAGATGTGCTAGATCATACAGTATGCATATCCATGTAACCTGCTCTTCCTTTTCGAGTTTAAGCAAGTTTACGCAAAGCACAGAAAAGAGATGAGAAGTAGTGAGGAAAAAAAATTAAAGCCCAAAAATAAGAGAGAAAAGGAAATCTAACTAACTCTAGTTTATACTGTCACTACTGTTCCACACAAACCATTCTCTCTATTCTTGCAAAACATTCCTGCTTTCATCATGTCCATCTACCACAGTGTTTTTTCAAACGTGGCCATTTTAAGAGGGGTGGACTTCAACTCCCAGAATTCCCCAGCCAGCCTTTTTTGAGATCCAGTGACCAGCAAAAACAACAACTGCTGGCTGGGGAATTCTGGGAGTTGAAGTCCACCCCTCTTAAAGTGGCCAAGTTTGAAAAAC